CAGATTTTAATTTGAGCGTTTGAATGTATTTAAATGCAAAATGATACATCCTGAAAATGTACCCCCTAATGATATTCTAAATATATATTTTTAATTCACTATAGTTGACTTAAGTATGTCATTACTTACCATGTACACAGGTTATATAGTTGAGTTAGATCTATGAATTTTAAGTACCGATTCCTGTTATATATATATTTTTTATTAATTACCAGTTTCTGTTATTCTTCCTGGTATCTTGTTGAATTCAGAAGCAGACCGAGTAAGATAATGAAAAGATCAACTCGCGACTTTATTTTATATCTGTTGTACTTGATTATTAACACGCGCAGATTTAATCCGACCGTGTGAACGGCCATTTTCGTTAATCAATGATACGTGTATATTTACAAAAATATATTTTCTAGGTTGATAAAATCACACCGTCTGCAAGTCTAAATATCTTTTATAAGATTTAATTATTTTATAAAAACACACATTATGGACCAATCAGTTCCCTCAATTATCTGCACACCGCCATAATCTTATCGTCTACCAGTCTTTAAAGCCCATATCAGAGTAATGACGGATTCGTGAACAGACTTCACCCCAATAATATCAACTGGGATTAATCCAGCTATTAACAGACCTTGTACAGATTGACTGAACTGCGGTTAAAAAAATCAGACGTACCGTAATTGGCGTATAGTTGGGTAATGATTAGGGTATAATATTCACCTAATATCTTTACCGCCATTAGAGTTTAACACCAGACGTAGTTGTGATTGGTGTATAGTAGGGTAATGATTAATGTATAATATTCGCCTAATATCTTTACCGCCATTAGAATTTAACGCCAGACGTAGTTAAGATTGTTGAATAGTATACTAGTACATCTAATTATAGTTCAACACCAGACGTTCCTATGATGGCTGTTTACAAAACCTAATACACCGTATTTTTATTATGACAAAGAGAGAAATTGACCCGCCCTCTCATCTCACGACAGCGATTTTATAAGTGTGTTTTAAGGAGACCTTTTGATTTACAAGGACTTTTTTTATTTTTGTGTTTTTACCAATTTTCAACCCTTTTAGTGTAAATAAAATAATTTAATTAAATCATCAACTTGGTACATAATATCATATTTATTGTATTTGACGTTAAATCTTTAATAAACAACAACAAACAACAAGATTTTTACACGGCCACACATAGTTTTGGCGTATTTTGTCGCAACTGTCCTTCTGTCAACAATTGCTCTCGCGATACAGGCTCGAATTTTTGACATAAAGTTTTCCAATTTTTACTGTTATACGACATTTTATTGCAGAGGTATCCCCCACCCTACTATCATTCGGAAAGGAACATTTAGTGTTTACACGATAAGGACTAGGGCTTTTGAAGACTTCCTTTCAAATTTGACATGAAGCATAGGCACCCTGACAAGATGACACCTATCGATTTGCAGCGTTCACTAATTTTCTGTTTTAGAGATGCGGTCCTTGTCATTGCTAGAGTTTGAGAGAAGACGCGCCATATCGATTTCCAGTGCTCCCCAACCAGTTGCTCCGGAGTTATCCCCCTTTTAACGTTTAGAGATCACATACAAAGTATTTGTTCCACCGCATTCTATCATATACATCGAATTGGAAAGAGCCAACGTTATCTCAATTATGAAAATAAAGAAAAATTCATTCACGCATTTATCTCAACTGAACTAGATTACCATAATGGTTCACTATATGGCTTACCAGACTATCAGATTAACAAACTACAAACTGTTCAAAATTCAGACGGAGGGGCTGACAAGGAAAGCTGTCTAGTCGTTCGGATGGGACGAAAAACCGAGGTCCCGTGTACACATTGGCGTGCACGTAAAAGATCCCTTGGCAGTTGGAATTCGATATAAGAGTAGGCCGTAGTGCCGCTGTCCGGGCAAAATTTCTCTCATAGCACACTGTATGGCGTATGCCCGTCTTCTTTAGCCCAGGTTAGGAGCAGAACAGTAGGACGTTAAACTCCATTTCATTTCATTTCATTTTCAAAATTCAGCAGCTCGACTCCTCACTAAAACTAGAATACATGAAGACATCTCCCCTGTATTGCAATCTTTACATTGGCTGCCAATTCAGCAAACAATTAGGTTCTTCAAAGCCCTAAACGGCCAAGCTCCATCTTATATAAAAAGCTTTGTAGAACCCTATACTACCAGCAGAAATCTCCGTTCTCAGAAAAAGAAACATCTGAAATCTTCAGCCATAAACTTACAACTTGGAAAACGTTCTTTTTCTTATGCTGGTCCTTTTCTATGGAATAGACTACCACAATCAATGAAACAATTAACGTATGTGGGCCATTTTAAATCTCACCTCAAAACATTCTTATTTCAAAACCCTGATGTCTAAATAATCAGTGAATATAACCAACAGCGTCCTAGAAACTGTTTTTGTTTTCTTCAGTATTAACGGGCTTTATAAATGACGATATTATTATTTATAATAAATATGTCAATTTTTAAATACTATAGTTTACTATTTTAAATGAATATTAATACTAATAGTCCAGACAATTTATGATTTATCCCCAAATATTGCAAGAAAACTTTTTTTTATGCATTTTTGCGTTTATTGAGGTGTACTTTATAAAATCTCAAGGTTATCAAATTTTGCGCACCTGAAAGTGTTAAAATCCAAGATGGCCAAAATCCATCATCGGAACGTCTGGTGTTGAACTATAATTAGATGTACATGTACTAGTGTATTCAACAATCTTAACTACGTCTGGTGTTAAAATATAATGGCGGTAAAGATATTAGCCGTGTATTATACATTAATCATTACCCTACTATACACCAATCATAAAAAAAAAAGGTCTCCTTAAAACACACATAAAATCGCTGTCGTGAGATGAGAGGGCGGGTCAATTTCTCTCTTTGTCATAATAAAAATACGGTGTATTAGGTTTTGTAAACAGCCATCATAGGAACGTCTGGTGTTGAACTATAATTAGATGTACTAGTATACTATTCAACAATCTTAACTACGTCTGGCGTTAAATTATAATGGCGGTAAAGATATTAGCTGTATATTATACATTAATCATTACCCTACTATACACCAATCACAACTACGTCTGGTGTTAAACTCTAATGGCGGTAAAGATATTAGGTGCATATTATACCCTAATCATTACCCAACTATACGCCAAATACGGGTACGTCTGATTTGGGTAACTGCAGTTCAGTCAATCAGTACAACGTCTGTTAATAGCTGGATTAATCTCAGTTGATATTATTGGGGTGAAATGTGTTCACTAATCCGTCATTACTCTGATATAAGCTTTAAAGACCGGTAGACGATAAGATTATGGCGGTGTGCAGATAATTGAGGGAATTGATTGGTCCATAATGTGTGTTTTTATAAAATAATTAAATCTTATAAAATATATCTAGACTTGCAGACGGTGTGATTTTATCAACTTAGAAAATATATTTTTTGTAAATATACCCTTATCATTGATTAACGAAAATGGCCGTTCACACGGTCGGGTTAAATCAGCGCGTGTTAGTAATCAAGTACAACAGATATAAAAAGAAGTCGCGGGTTGATCTGCTCATTATATTACTCGGTCTGCTTCTGAATTCAATATACCAGGAAGAATAACAGAAACTGATAACAAAAAAATAAATATATATAACAAGAATCGGTACTTTAAATTCATAGATCTAACTCAACTATATAACATATTCTGTGTACATGGTAAGTAATGACATACTTAAGTCAACGATAGTTAATAAAAAAGGGTTAAGAATATAAGGGGGTACATTTTCAGGATGTATCATTTTGCATTTAAATACATTCAAACGCTGAAATTAAAATCTAAAATCTGTTTTTACTGAGAATGTGTTTTTTTTTAATTATTTAAGAAGCCTGCATTTGTCATTGGTTTTCTGTTTTGTTTTTAGATGAATTCAACAAAGATGTTGAGCTGGATTAAAAAACGCTGTCGAAGACGATCAGACCCGGTTGGTGATGGACTGAAACACGGCGAGGAGATAACTCAGGATAAACAGAAAGTATCTGATTGTCCAGTTTATTTTACAATAGAAACAGCCATTGCCTGTCCTGGAGATATAAATATTGATGATCACGTCTACGAAGAAATTGACGACAATAAAAACGACGCATCATATGATATAATAAGAGAAATAACGAGCCTGACAAAAAGAATGGAGGACGAATTCGGCTGCAAAGAAAAAATTTGTCCTTTGTGTAGACGTAAACTTGAACAGTTCTGTGTTTGCGTTGACTCTGATAACGCTGCTACAATACCTGAAATATACGAACTCGGCACAAATCCCTTCTATCAAAAAGAAAGAAGGCATTCACACGCATATTATGCAGCAAACCGACCGCTTCCGAATCCTCCTCGGGAATCTCCGATAAAATCCGACACAATGTCAGGTGATGATAGTAGTGGGTTTTATGAAAGTGTTGGTTCTGATTTTGATGGTAGTAGTGATAATCAAGACTACGATTATGACCATAACGGACTGAATGTTTTAACTAAAGATGATATTGATGAAAATGATTACGAAGAAATTGACATTAAACCTAAAATACCACACAAACGTAGACACAGTTTAAGTTCATTTCCAGTGATCAAATCACCACGAAATATATTTCAAAATACATTTAAAGGGAAGGAGCCTTGTTTATCAACTACAGCTCGAAGGAGTCCTTTATTTAAACCGCACAGAAAGAAAAATCGGTTATCAGCACTAACATTGAGAAGGTTGTCTTCAAAATTGGACATTTAGAAATAGAGCATAATGAATACTCATTCGGAATTAATTGTTTTAAAAAGCCAAGAAGACTAATCGTATTGAATAATCTGAACAATATGTTACATAAGAATTATTAAATTTGTTAATATGCGTATTTATAATTTCCAATTAGTGCTACATATTGTATTTAATGTAGATATTTATTTATTTTTGTATTTATTTATTTATTCAGTTTATCTCTGAAGGTACAAATGAATAAAGTGACTTAACTAATAATTAAAGTTGACTTATATCTGATTAAAATACAGATCTATATCTTGTTTCGTCTTTTATACTTTCGATGACCTATACTACACGAAAATCTGAATGGTAGTAGTGGAAGGTCGCGTCAGGTGCATATGGCCAAAATATACTGAGCGCCATGGAAAACGCATCACTTTTTTTCCCAAATATTTTATTACTAGGTGGTTTTGTATGTATAATATTATGCAATACTATGAACTATTGTTTCACACAATGCTCCCAAACGCAAAACAATATCGGCCCGTGTGCAAAAAAAAAAAAAAAAAAAAATGCACGAGATGCACATGAAAAACCCAATATTCACAGATTGAAACGTCAATCTTTCGTAATTTGTTGTTGGACGTGTGAATGAATCGAGCTAGAGATGCCGAGACTTACTGAAAATCAACGGAATGAAGCCATGGGAATGTCCAGGGCTGGCATGTCTACACGTGCTATTGCCAGACACTCCAATTGTTATCAGTCCACTATTGTAAGGTTAGTGGAACGTGTTCGAGTTACTGGATCAACACGTGACCGTCAAAGTCCTGGTCCACAACGCGTTACAACCCAGGCTCAAGACCGCTACATCCGGGTCACTCATCTGCGTGACAGATTCCGCCCAGCGACTCGAACAGGTGCAGCAGTCGTCGGAAGACAAGGACCAACAACGCAAGACGTCGTCTAAGAGAAGTAGGACTCTGTGCACGACGACCTTATGTTGGAGCTATCCTCAGGGATTATCACCGTCAGTGGCGTTTGATATTGGCTCAAGGACACCAGACATGGAGAAGAGCAGACTGGCAAAGTGTGCTCTTCGCTGATGAGAGTCTCTTTCATCTTCATCACGCTGATGGTCGTCAACGTCTGTGGAGACGTCTTGGGGAACGTCTTGCAGACTGCTGCGTCTTCGAAACGAATCGATGGGGTGGGGGAAGTGTAATGGTGTGGGGAGGCTTCACATTTCATCACCGGTCCGCCCTACACATTTGCAGGGGTCGCATTAATGCTGTAGCCTACCGTGATGATGTCTTGCAACCAATTGTTGTTCCGATGTTTCGAGCGCACCCACAACTTCAGCACTTCCAACAGGATAATGCACGTCCACATACCGCCCGTTTTAGTATGGACTAGCTGGCTGTTAACAACATCAATATCTTGGACTGGCCAGACATGGCACCGATAGAACATGTCTGGGATGAGATTGGACGCCGTCTGTATCGGAGACCACAGATGCACATCATTGCTGCTTTAGAAGCTGCTCTTGTCCAAGAATGGAACAATTTGCCCCAGGCCTTCTTTCAAACATTGGTAAATTCCATGCGACGTCCCTGCGAAAAACTAAGTGATGCGTTTTCCATGGCGCTCAGTATATTATTATTAAGGCCAATTCAAGATTCCGTCATGGTCGCTGAAATGTAATATAAGGTTAGGGCATGTAATATTGTTGGCGAGATTGTGAGTTAGGGTAAGCGTTCAACTCGCCGTAATAGATCGTTTCATTGGCTAATCCCTCACATCAACCAGAAAGCGGGTTATATAACAACTCTTCAGATCCTAATGCAGTAAAGACAAGTAAAACAAAATTTTGAACTATTTAAAACGAAACGCAATAAGGTCTGTTTTATGTAGATTGTGTATATCATCTGTGTAATTTTTGAACAATGACACCATGGACTTCAGTTATGACGATACAATTGGTAAGTCACACTTTATCGTAAACGTCCTACTTTTCTGCACCGACTGGCCTAATGAAGACAGACACGTATGCCTTTTGTCCTGTAGTTCGTCCCTATGGACTTCAGTTATGACGATACAACAGTCTTTGCGATATCGCTTGGGAAGAAATCACAGTATCTGTATACTAAATAGCAGGTCTATCGAGAATAGTCGAGACTTTGTTTAAAGGGCGTATAGTCCTAACGCAGTATTCAATAGTGTGCTTATTGATGTTTTGAAAGTACCGTAAAGATATGGACCCTGTTTTAAGAGAGCCGTTCAAAGCCTATTTGTCTCGAAAATATACACGACCATAGACAGCGGTTTAATAGTTAAAATCTTTACGGTGGATTAGGTTTTGTAAACATCCATCATTTGAAACGTCTGGTGTTGAACTATAATTAGATGTACTAATATACTATTCAACCATCTTAATCACGTCTGGTGTTAAAATATAATGGCGGTAAATATATTAGCTGTATATTATACATTAATCATTACTATACACCAATCACAACTACGTCTGATGTTAAATTCTAATGGCGGTAAAGATATTAGGCGAATATTATACCCTAATCATTACCCAACTATACGACAATTACGGGTACGTCTGATTTTGGTAACTGCAGTTCAGTCAATCAGTAAAACGTCTGTTAATAGCTGGATTAATCCCAGTTGATATTATTGGGGTGAAACGTGTTCACTAATCCGTCATTACTATGATGTGGGTTTTAAAGACTGGTAGACGATAAGATTATGGCGGTGTGCAGATAATTGAGGGAATTGATTGGTCCATAAAGTGTGTTTTTATAAAATAATTAAATCTTATAAAAGATATTTAGACTTGCAGACGGTGTGATTTTATCAACCTAGAAAATATATTTTTTTGTAAATATACCCGTATCATTGATTAACGAAAATGGCCGTTCACACGGTCGGATTAAATCTGCGCGTGTTAGTAATCAAGTACAACAGATATAAAAAGAAGTCGCGGGTTGATCTGTTCATTATCTTACTCGGTCTGCTTCTGAATTCAACAAGATACCAGGAAGAATAATAGAAACTGATAACAAAAAAATAAATATATATAACAGGAATCGGTACTTTAAATTCATAGATCTAACTCAACTATATAACATATTCTGTGTACATGGTAAGTAATGACATACTTAGGTCAACTATAGTCAATTAAACAAAACCATTTAGAATATCATATAAGAGGTATATTTTCAGGATGTAACATTTTGAATTTAAACATGATGTATCATTTTGCATTTAAATACATTCAAACGCTCAAATTAAAGTCTGTTTTTACTGAGAATGTGTTTTTCATGTGTCATTGGTTTTCTGTTTTGTTTTTAGATGAATTCAAAGATGTTGAGCTGGATTAAAAAACGCTGTCGAAGAAGATCAGACCCGGTTGATGAGAGACTGAAATACGACGAGGAGATAACTCAGGATAAACAGAAAGTATCTGATTGTCCAGTTTATTTTACAATAGAAACAGCCATTACCTGCCCTAGAAATATTGATATTGATGATCACGTCTACGAAGAAATTGACGACAATAAAAACGACGCATCATATGAAATAATAAGAGATATAACGAGTCTGACAAAAAGAATGGAGGACGAATTCGGCTGCAAAGAAAAAATTTGTCCTTTGTGTAGACGTAAACTTGAACAGTTCTGTGTTTGCGTTGACTCTGATAAAGCTGCTACAATACCTGAAAGAAGGCATTCACACGCATATTATACAGCAAACCGACCGCTTCCGAATCTTCCTCGGGAATCTCCGATAAAATCCGACACAATGTCAGGTGATGATAGTAGTGGGTTTTATGAAAGTGTTGGTTCTGATTCTGATAGTAGTAGTGATAATCAAGACTACGATTATGACCATAACGAACTGAATGTTCATAAATATGATGGTTTAACTAAAGATGATGATGATGAAAATGATTACGAAGAAATTGACATTAAACCCAAAATAACACACAAACGTAGACACAGTTTAAGTTCATTTCCAGAGATCAAATCACCACGAAACATATTTCAAAATACAGTTAAAGGGAAGGAACCTTGTTTATCAACTACAGCTCGAAGGAGTCCTTTATTTAAACCGCACAGAAAGAAGAATCGGTTATCAGCACTAACATTGAGAAGGTTGTCTTCAAAATTGGACATTTAGAAATAGAGCATAATGAAACCGTATTCGGAATTAATTGTATAAAGAAGCAAAGAAGACCAATCTTATTGAATAATCTGAACAATATGTTACAGACGAATTATTAAATTTGTTAACATGAGTATTTATAATTTACAATTAGTGCTAAATATTGTATTTAATGTTAATATTTATTTATTTATTTATACATTTATTTATTTATTTATTCAGTTTATCTCTGAAGTTACAAATGAATAAAGTGACTTAACAAATAATTAAAGTTGACTTCTATTCCCCAATCTGCTTAAAATACAGATCTGTATTTCGTTTCGTTTTTATACTTTCGATTGCCTACACTACATGAAGATCTAAATGATTCTAGTGGAAGGTCGCGTCAGGGTCCATGCGGGCAAGATCTAATTCTTAAGGCCAACTCAAGATTTCGTCAAGGTTACTGACTTAAATAAGGTTAGGACACGTAATTGTTGGCGATATTGTGGGTTAGGGTAAGCGTTAAGGCTAGGTCCAGGGCTAGGGTTGGGATTAGCGCTAGCGCTGTTTACATCTCATGACCTTTGACTAAAGTTGAAGTTGACCCTAAGAATAAAGATGTAACATTCTTTTGACGATATGAGGTCAGACATTTGATTAACCAATCAGACCCCATACTTCCGTGTACCGCACCTCTAGAACCTTGCTTAGAAGACCGTTTCACTTGCTAATCCCTCACATTATCCAGAACGCATGTTCTATACCAACTCTTCAGATCCTAATGCAGTAAAGACAATTAAAACGAAATTTTGAACTTTAATAAACGAAACGAAATATGATCTTTGTTTTAAGCAATTTTGCAACAATGATACCAAATAACATCTAAAAATATCTCATGCAAGAAAGAATTCCATATGGAGTTATCTCAATATGAAAAACTTGTATAATGATCTAAAATTTGTCCCCAATGTATACTCGTTACTAAAACACTGTTGTTGCATTGTACCACTTGGTTCAGTTTTAATGTTAGCATCGGTTTGGTAAGTCACACTTTATCGTAAACGTCCTACTTTTCCGCACCGGTT